TGTCACAGGGAAAGATGAGCCAACCCTCGATTAACTTGAAAGTGTAATCATTCATATATTGAATTTAATAAGAGCAATCTAATTCTGTCTACAAGGAAACGTTATACCTCAAGCTTAGGCTAATATGTTGTATAGAGGTAGTTTCTTTATTCTTTGAATCAACCTTCTGGTTGCACAGTAGATTGAGGAAGCCAAGTTTTGTTTCCAAACATCTAGTTTTAATCGTACTGATTATTCTGGTTATTGGTGATGTAGTGATAGCGATATTTGTGTTTATTTTTACTAAGAGATTCTTGCGATCTTAGTTGAGGGAGTATTTTTCTTTGAATTTTTTCTTTCCTTTTTTTTGCGTGGATTTTGCGCTCGTGATTTGTGTATATTAAATACAACACACTATTCGTTATAAATCTGTGAATACTTTAGATTTAGTTGAAATTTCTTTCAAACGTTACTTCTATATTCGTTTACTCGTTATATCCATGATGGCTTCTTTTTTTTAAGTAATTCTAGATAGTTACAAACTTTCCTTTCAGTTTTGATTCCCGATATGTGTAAATAAACTTGTTATTTCTGTTTTGTACACCTTGACTCATGTATAATTTATTTTACCCTTAAGTTACGTTAATTCCAACGGATTTATATACACACAAATCCCAGCTTATCTGGTTTATGTGACCCCTTTTCTGTCGGCTGTCAAGATACCACATGGTTAACTCCATCAAGTCTTCTTCATTTAGCCACTATTTGTGTATTTTCACAGCGAAAGTTATGATTAAGTAACTTTGTTACAGGGTCGTGATCTGACTTCGTCAGAGGAATCTAGGTCATAGAGTTTCGTCAGGTCTGTGATTGAAGGATTTGCGTACTCACACACATACATGTACACCACATAGTTTACTGACTCGCCGTTACTGACGTTCTCCTATACTCCCTCTCGCTAACATACGCATTGTCATCAGAAAGTGTCCTCATCTATATCGTGTAAACAAATGTTTGCTTTACTGCTAAATCACAGGTCCGCAAATATCATTTGTTGCAGCATATACAGCACATTCAACAACTGTAAGTTTAACCTATAAAAATTATCACCCTGGCTTGGAATTCTGTTTAAAATGCCCGAAAACTGCAGACAACTACTCTATTGAAATCTTCAATACCTTGTTTAGCTTTCAAGACATATATTCATCTTTAAGTACAACAGGATAAATAAATTCTTATGCTACAACACAAGCCGTACTAGGCACCCTGCCCTAGTGAACAAATGGACAAAGTACACAGTTTAAATTAATTCCTGAAAGTACAACTAATCATTTTTCAAAGGCTCTTTTCTGGATTGATTATGGAAAAACGTGGTCTGAAAACCAACTAGCGATCAGAGAAAGAATGAATAATGTAATGTATTGTAGGTTTCTGGTTTAATCTGTCAAATTGCAGACACAACTTTCAATCATTTATTTTCTTCAGCCAAACTAGCAGGTAATTTAATCTGACAATTCTAACGCTGTGGTTTCTTTTGTTTAACTTTTTACCTGAAATTCTATAATTATCACAAGTTATATTAAGCACAAGAGTATTAGGTCGTCAAGAAATTAACGTCGCGTTTTGGAACACTTTCGTTAACCCCCCCCCCAAAAAAAAAAAAAAACGTACATCATGTAGAATAGTTAAACGAACCGCCTAAACATCACGTTAGTGTAGCCTGTATAATGTGTAAAGATTAGTGTACTCTAATCCCTTATAGTGATGACACACCACGAGACACACATTCGGCATGTTATGCTGTTTGAATACAAGATAAGAAACAACGCCTCTGTAGCCACAAAGAATATCAAAGAAGTATATGGAAATGTTTCGAACGTTCGTAAATGTCAACGATGGTTCAGCAAATTTCGTTCAGGTGACTTTAGCCTTAAAACTGTGATAGCAGGGACCGACATGTTGGAATTGATATTGATGCTCTGAAGACGCTTGTTGAGTTTAACCCAAGGCAAATAGCCCTGAAATTGCATGTTTCTCATGAAACAATACGTAAATATATAAGGAATATGAGAAAACTCCATAAAGAAGGTGTTTGGATGCCTCACGAACTCACCGACGATCATCGTTTCCAACGTGTGAACGTTGCTTCGTCTCTTCTGGCCGTAATGCGCGTGAACCATTTTTGGACAGAATTGTCAGAGGTGATGAAAAATGGATTCTCTATGCGAATATTGAATGCCAAAAACAAAGGCCCAGTCCTAGACAAAAAAACCACTTCGTACCCCAAAACCTGGACTCCATCTGCAGAAAGAGATGCTTTGCATTTGGTGGGACATCAAAGGAATAATTCATTCTAATAATTCATCTGTAGTCAGCAATTGGAACGTTTAAATCAAGCCCTTCATCAGAAACGCCTTTCCCTCGTCAATCGGAAAAGTGTTCTTCTTCTCCACTACATCGCACGTCTACATGTGGCAGTTTGACGCAACACAAGATTATGGAGTTGGGTTGGGAAGTTCTCCCTCACCCACCATATTCTCCAGATATGGCACCATTAGATTACCATCTTTTTGGTCACTGCAACACCATCTTAATGGGAAAACGTATGCAAATGTGGAAGGTGTTAAGGAGGACATCGACATGTTTTTTCCTTCAAAGCTAAGTGAATTCTTTAATCAGGGCATTAACAATCTGATTGTAAGATGGAAAAGCATCAACGATAAGAATGGAGACTACTTCCTTTAATAAGTGTTTTGTTTTTATATATAAGTTGCTCGGGTTTTTTCATCTAAAAAAAAACGACATTAATTTCTTGACGTCTTAATATAATACTTGTCTGGATAGTGTATTTGTAAGTTCCTAACGTTGAGTTTTAAATTATTCGTTTAATAATTCAATAGCTATATTTTTAAGAATATGGTTTTCTTGCGCTCAAATTGATTATATTAATTTTGATTATATTTGTCCGGGAGAACTAAAGTAGGGTACAGAAATGGCTATTACTCACTCACAGCGAAAACCTCTAAGAAAACGCAAGAAATATAACCTCTAAAACATGTTTTTTACTTCAGACTAATTTACGCTCGATGTGCCTGAAGTTACTTGATTTTTGGTTTTATTGATTTCGAATCATAAAAATAAAATCATAAATATTGCGCTTCTAGTAGCAAGCCCTCAATGACTTAGCGTACGTCTCAAGGCTTACAACGCTGGAAACCGAGGTTCGATACTCATGGTGGGTACAGAACAGGTAGCCCATTATGTAACATTGTGCTTAATTACAAACAAACAACAAAATCTAGTGGAAATGATAACTACCAACAGCACATTGTGTGTTACTGACTGTATTGTTTGTAGTTATGCACAAAGTTACAAAATAGGCTATCTGTGATCTGCCCACCACAGGTATCGAAACCCGGTTTCTAGCGTTGTAAGTCCGGAGATATACCACTGTGCCATGAGGATCAACCTTGTAAAAGCTAGTGGATAATTTGAAATTCACTCTTTGATGTCAAATAATTGAGCAATAACAATATTTTGAGCTTTATCTATAATAATAAAAAGGTGTGTCTATAGGTCTGTGTGTGTGTGACCGCCATAACTACAATAGGAAAAACCTAGAAACCGTAAATTTTGCACCCATACTACGTGGACCCTGAGAGTGTGCACCTGGGTATTATTACTTATCCACGTGCGCGCGCATTTATTTGTGAAGTAAACAAGCGAAAAACACATAGAAAAAATATGTGACCGCCAAGAGCAAAGAACCTAAAAAAAATTGCACCCATACTAAGTGGACTCTGAGGTTGTTCACCTGGGTATTATTACTTATCCACGCGCATGTGCGAGCGCATATTTTTAATGAGGTAAGCTAGCGATAAACCACGTAGGAAAGAAAATGTGACCGCCATAGCTCGAAGAGAAAAGACCCTAGAAACCTAAAATTTGGCACCCATACTAAGTGGACCCTGAGGATGTGTACCTGGGTATTATTACTTATCTTATCTACGGGCCGCCGCATCTTTTTAATGAAGCAACTTAGCGAAAAAATCACATAGAAACGAAATGGTTCCTTATATAACAACATCTAATATATAAAAAAGCCATTGCGTTTTGGTAACAATGCGTTCCAACAATGGCTTTTATGTCATGTTGGAACGAATTGTTAGCAACAAAAATATAACCTAATATTGTTGTTAGTCTATGTACTGAAAGTATAAAATGAAATGTATAAACTATAAACATGGAAAAATATTTGTTGATTTCTTAATTTAAAGTCTCCGTTCATTAAAGAGGTTTTTCTTATTAAAAACGTTGATGATATAACAGAAAATACCTTAATTCAGAAACAATTTAAGTTTAAAAATCAAGCGTGACGTGACACACGCTGAATTCCATATAGATTAGATAACGTGACATATATCGGCATCTATATTTATCTATAACATAGTCATCTAGAATAAATCAACCTAATAACCCGAGCGAAGCTTGATACTTTCGCTGGTGTTATAATAATGCAAAGGATTAATAAAAAAAAATAGGCTTTTCTATTTTGAAATTCTCATAATTTCAGGTTTTTCGACTAATAATATGAATATTTAATAGTAAATAATAAAATTTTTGAAACTTTACCTCCAGAGTAGTGGATTTATCATCTACAAAAATGAGTCTAGCTTGCCAGCCATCAGAGGGCAGCACATCATCGCCAGTGGGAACTACCGGTATGACGTTCATAGTGCCTTGAGCGTACGTAGGATTAGGAGCTCCTACAAGATAAACAGTGAAAAACATTAGAATTTCCAAAGTTTAAAATACTAATACCACACAACTAGGAAGTTAGAGAATCTGTGTTTCGCTCTAAAGTAACAATGAATGAATGACATTTTAAATATTAATATAATTTTTACAGGACAACTTCTCTAGGAAGCATTTTTATAAAATGTTTTGACTCACTGAAGTTGAAATTTAATCTAGAAACCGATGATAATGTTACTGTGATCAGTCTTCTGAATGTTTCAGCATAAGACAAACACGAAAAAACGTATGAAAATGTTATTTGATGGATTGCTTTAATCATGAATACGAAAGCACTTTTATAAAAAATTCGTTTCAGCCTTATGACTATCCCTTTAACACTAAAGGATAAACACACCGATTTAATGTTAATTCATATTATTTATTTTTAGAACTGATGCTATATATTTCCATTGAAGCTAGACAAACAGGTACTGAGAGAATATCATCAATCCCTGCTATTATGGATATTATATAAATTATTCCAATCCACTGATCGGCTAGATATGGAAAGAATGATTTTTATAAAATTTTTGTCCCAAAATCTATCCTTTTTAAACGTGAGAAATGGGTAATTACTTTTATTAAGAAAATGTGTTGTTACGAGTTGAAAAACAGAATCATAAAATTCCAAAATATCATGGAAAACTCAGAATATATCTTCTTATAACTGAAATATGTTTTTCACGCCTAGTACTGCAAGAGAAGTGTTCACCCGTTTAAGTTTTTTTGTGGCAATTGTTTAGCTTTTCCGAGTTTTAAGGGCTTGCTGTAAATGTTCTAAAATGGTTGGGAAAAGCTATATTATGCCAGATAAAGGGGTTGCTTTTAACCCTCGCGTGCTTTTGGTACACGGCTTGACACGCTGTTTGACGTACCATCCGGGAATGTATGCACAGTTGTGAAAAACCCGAATACTGTTCCATTATATATAGTGTGCATTAATTACGGCGTAACTTTAGAAATAGATTGTTACTCGTGATTAATAGTATTTTAAAATATTATACTTGTAGCGATAGAACGTTTTAATATATTTTAATATATGGCAAGAAATTTTAAAGAAAAAGAAAATCTGTAACTCAGAAGCACGAACCGTCATACAGAACTCCACACCATGAATTGAAGTCGCTAGATACAGAATTGAACGTTCTATCCTTCCACAGAAGTATGGAAAACCTAACTCACGAAGAGCTTTACGCAAAACGAATAGCTCTTGTGAAGCTACATATTAAGTGAGTCATTAGAAGAAAAACCAAACCGAGAAACTAAAATTGTCTCTTTATCAATTACATCACAAGTTAGCCAAAAAGTATTCCCAATAGGGTGTTTTCACAAGTTAGCCAAAAAGTATTCCCAATTAGATGTTTTCACAAATTAGCCAAAAAGTATTCCCAATTAGATGTTTTCACAAATTAGCCAAAAAGTATTCCCAATAGGCTGTTTTCACAAATTAGCCAAAAAGTATTCCCAATTAGATATTTTCACAAATTAGCCAAAAAGTATTCCCAATAGGCTGTTTTCACAAATTAGCCAAAAAGTATTACCAATTAGGTGTTTTCACAAATTAGCCAAAATGTATTTCCAATTAGGTGTTTATTTCAATTTTGAAAAACCTTTTATGAAATGAAGTATTCCAAATGCCTCCACCTCCCTCAAAATCTGGTTCTAGAATTTCATCTTGCGATTGGTAACTCTTTGTTTCATCCTTTGGTGAATGGTTCTTCAGTCAATAAAGAGGTGGCTGATTTTTTTATTATAATTGTACTCTATTTACTATATTGACCCTAAAATTACATATGGAGTCCATATGTATATATTGTTTTATACATTATAATATATGTACGGAAACATGAAATTATGAAATAAGATATATTTGTATTTTACTCTATTTTTGGATTATTTGTACATTTTCCACTTAAACATTTACCATACATGAAAATGTAACTAAATATTATTTTCTCTTTTTTATACATTTTTAAAATATGTCATCCTCTCAAAGAATAAGTTGCATTACTAGAACAATAGCTTTGATTAACATTTATTATATTTTTATATAATTTTTACTTTACATAACATTATGTATTCCAAAAATAAGTGAAATGCACAGCAGCCAAGGACAGAACCAATAAAAACGCAATATTATCAACGATGTTTAGGTAATGTTACCTTTAGTCCAGAATCAAAACTGTTCATAAAGCACTTGATTCCATTTTCGGTTTAAAAAATATTTGCAAAAGTCTAGCTTGATGTCAGTATGACTTGCGATACTTATTTGTCCAATTGGGTGGAGTACAGATCATGACATCATCGAAATGAGTGACGTAACTAAACAATGGGCAGTTTAAATACACTGTGTGATTTTGAAATTGGCTAACAGGTGTTTCTTCCAATAAACAATAGATAACTACCAAAAGAAGTCATGGATGGCTAACTATGTTTTAATTGGGGGGGGGGGGGCAACAATATATTTAGAGCGTTTATTTTACACCATGTTAAGAAGGTAGAAAACATAATTTTAAGCAAATCACAAAGAAGAGCAAGTACTGTTCTTAAAGATAAATACAAACAGCAGTTCAAAATACTTGCTGCAATGTCAGAAGTATTGGTACTACCTTGCAATTGCAAACATCTAATATAAGCTTGAAATTTTATTAGTCTAATATAGTTGTTGATATCGCATGTAAACTGAAAATTTTGGGGAATACATATTCCCCTAGTTTAATTAATTTGAAGGGCGCGTGCTCTTCCTGCCCTATATGTTTGACGCCTATAAGAGAAGCCACTGGCTAACGATTTATTTGCTTATTTACATGATGAGATCAAACCTTAATAATTAAAACTGACCAACGAATTCAACAGTCATTTCCATAATGAACGTTTACGTTTAAAGTTCACATTGTCCTTGTTGGCAACGTCAAAAAGGAAGGCTTGAATACAAGTCTGTTACTGCAGAAAGTTTTCAAAACATTAATCTGTTCGGACTTCCTAGAGCAATCGCTTGTTATTTATTGGAATTTTCCCATATGATAGAAGGCTGCACATTCGTTTGCCACTTATCATTATCTTGTATATACGTATACATAAAACATTACATAACTTATAATAAACTAACAGTTAAAGCCAACTTCGTAGCGATTGGTTCGAATAAAGCAAAAGCCTTTGATAATTATTTATCTGGTTGAGTGACTGATTGAAATTTTATCTTGAGTAAACAATAAGAAGCAAAATATAATTTGTAATTAATACCTTAGCATCTGATATCAAATATATACATGATTCTGAAGATACGACCACTAAGACCGATCCTAATTTTCATTCCTTCAGAAAAGGTTCGAATTACGCAAGACAATGAGACACCCTTAATTTTTTTATAAACTTCCAAGCTAAACTCACCTTTTACTGTGAAGACAAGGCAAATTGCATCTTTTTCACCATTGTAGATCCTGTTGAAAACGATTTTCACCTTGAAAGGAAATCCACGGCGAAGAACAGGTTTTGGTTTATCTTTCTGAACCAAGTTGTACTCACTAGTGTAATGATTATTCGCATTTTCAGAGACGCATAAATCAACGTTTTGAACAACCAAGACTTGATCTTCAATAGAACCACCTTCTGGAGCTGAAATATGTATTTACTGCATTAAAAACTTGTGATGCTTTTGGTTTATGTACATTTTTTACAGAGAACCTAGAATGTTAATTTTCAAGTCTGTTTTATTTATATCATTTCATTATTTTACTTAGTTGTGTTTTGCTCAAACGTCTCACGGGTAATTTCATTAAGAAGTCTTTTAAAAGGACAAAACACTTTTCAAGAAATGGGTATATCTGAGAACATTTTTCAAGAAATGGGTTTAACGGAGGACATTTTTCAAGAAATTGATTTAACTGAGGACATTTTTCAAGAAATGGGTTTAGCAGAGGAAATTTTTCAAGAATTGATATACCCGAGGACATTTTTCATGCTATTGTTTTAAAATTAGGTTGTTTAATTCTTAAATTTTCGTGTCTACTAAAGTTGTTCTAATATAACAAAAGAGAAATTAGAGAAACATGATTGGAGAGTTGAAATCCTCTGTGAGTTTTCACAAGATACATTAATAGTCGACTTAATTAATATAAGTTATTTCTGTGTGTAATACCAATAGCTTGTAAAACACGTAACGTCTACAGAACCAATGGCTTGTATTTTGAAACTACATATTTTAACTACAATTCGTTTAATTTAAGATATTGATTAAAAATATACCGGAATTTACGCTACCACTCATCTAATTGCTTCTCTATTTCTGAATTATGTGGTACAGTGTATGTCTTCGGGCTTACAACGCTAGAAACCGGGATTCGATACCCGCGGTGGGCAGAGTACAGATAGTCCATTTCTTTTCGGTTTTAAACTGTCCGCCACGTGGTTCATAAATAATTCTAATGTAAGCTTCACCATTGCATTATGAGGATAGAGGAGATATTGAATAGTTTTAAGTCTTCCATAGTCGTGGACACATATATATGTCCTCCTCAAGAGCACTACCATTGAATTATAGATGTCTCCCCCCCCCCCCCCACATCACTGCCATGGCACACGTATGCCCTTCTTTAGACTCTAGAGCACTGCCATGGGCTTATATATGTCCCCCTCTAGGGCACTGTCGTACGCTTAAATATGTTTTCCTTTGGAGGCTAGAGCACTGTCATGGGCTTATACATGTCCCCCTCTAGAGCACTGTCATATGAGTTTGGAATTTTTTACAACCATTAATAAATGGCATTTTCCTTCAAATTTTCCAAAACGTAAATGTTTGAGATAAGTAATGAAATAGTAAAACATATGCCTATTTGTTTTAACTGTGTATATAAAAATAAATTTGGCACTGGAAGAGCTGTTTCTCAATAAACATGGCAGTAAAAGAGCTCATGAGCGTTGTAATTAATGAACAATAGTAATTCATAAATCCGTAACTTTGTAGCTAACATTTTCACCTTTGTATAACGACTAAGTCAAAATAGAAGCGCGCAGAGAGGCTGAAACCATTATTACCATTAAACCGGTTTGTGTAATGAAAACCAGTCGGTTCATGACACATGGTACTTATTAGACCCAGATGTGATACCTTTACTTAGTTTCAAATGTTTCATAGTTATTTTTCCTCCAAACAGAACAGACAAAAGGTTTACCAAGTACTACGCCATATTTATTACTGCTCTTACCACTGATTACTAATATTTTAGGTAACATTTATTATTCCCAAATCCAAACAAAAACTGATCCGTTTTGTCCTCTAGTGATTAGAAATTTAAATTATTATTTTATTGCTTGCACTTGGAGACTTGATAGGAAACAGGTAACGCAAGTTTTACTAATGTATAGGCCGGGAAAGAGCAGAGCTTTAGATACTTTTTACTTCTTGTAAAAATTATACAGACTAGCAGAAACGCCGCCATACGGGCGGTTGTTTGTGCTAGCAATTACTAATCGTAGTATTCATACCTCATTGAAAAACATTTAGAAAAAGTAAACGTTTTCTAAAAACGGATTTTTTTCCTGGGAAGTAGTGCACGGGAAAAGTGTTGGGATTGTGCTCTTTAGTCATACGCAACTCATAGAATCAAAATGATTCAATGTACAGAGCTCAAAATTTTAATAAATTTTTCTAATATGTATTAAAAGTGGTAACGTTAATTTAAAAAAAATAATAGTTTTTTAAGAATTCTAGTTTCTCAGTACTACATTTAAAAATTACCTCAATAAAGATATAATCAAACCCTCACGTACAGTCCTAGTGAAAGTCGTGTTCTTGTTGTTATGAAGGTACTTTTATTTGAAATTGTGTTCTATAATAA